TATATATATGCGAGAGCAAAATGGATAAGCTTCTAAGTCACGAGGGCCGCCTATTCACCCATAGTAACTGACAGTCGAGGCTCTGGGACTTGCACCGGGAAACCTGATATGGTTCTGTCATTGAGCTGGTTGACAGTGCAACGGCCAATCATAAGAGTGGGTTGTCGGTAGAAGACTTTAAAATTCCTGAACGTTAAGGTCCAAGACATACCCGTGGCAGCAACCCAGCTGCTATTACAGNCAACTTTGTTGCACCCAATCAAGCCACTTGATAGATTTGCCTAGTCACGTCTTGCCAAATTTATCCGAGGTCTTCTTATTCACTCTTCTCAATTGCATGAGTATGTAAGTCTGCTTAGTTTGTGCTTCACGAAGCCAAGCGTAAATTATTTTGCTTTCGAACTTTATATTCCTCATCGGTGTGTGTCACTTACCACCTCCCATACTCGTCGGAAGCGTAGTTTGTATCTACACCGTAGGGGACCGACCGTTCCCTCTTACTTCACTCGCATTCGATCCCGAACAAGAAAAGTTCTCAATGCAACCCACACTGACCAATGGCACTTCCCCGGGGAAAAAAGATGGAGTTAGACTGACTATAATTGAAACTTTGACTCTGTTAGAACGAGAGCTCCTCGCGGTAGTGCTGATGGTGGTGGCAGTAGTGGTACGATTATTTGAATACTTTTCAGCGGTGTGATGAATTCATCTATGATGTAAGAATTTCAAGTGTTTTGTGCAGATGGCGAATGGTCAAATACGGTTTGCTTCGTAGTTTTGCTCTTCGCATCGTGCGTGCCCAATACCATTCCAACTCAAACGGGATCCACAGTGATCTGTCTGTCATCACCAAATGGTATTTCACAATGAAACGAGATTTTTTTTTCTAATCCCCCTACACTCTTCAGTTGGATGACGTCATCCACCTCAACAATGATTCTAAATGAAATCGTGTGGATTGCTTTTTGCTGTTATGGCACGCGCGTAAGCATGTGTTTCCCCCTTCTTACTATACTCATCGTACCCAGCTCCCGATAATTTCATTGTTTTTTTTCGTAAGGTGTTCTAATTCACACTCTCGAGGTATATGATGCAGCAGGAGAAAAAAAATTCGTTGGAATGACTCCATCTCAGAAAATATGTATGTGCTCTGCCTATCGCTCATCCGCTCGCTGAAGTGGCGCATGACAGTTTGGAGATTAAATCGCACCCCCAATCCCATTCGAGGTCACCCAAAGGTTCCTCGATCTCGAGGGTATTCACATTTGTCACGTCGTTGCAGAATTTTGCTGCAAATCTCATCTCCCCACTCATTTATTGTCATCGTTCACTTGAATCTGTTGATACATTATATATACTTAGACGTACAAATACATCATTCCCACAGCTATTGTGTATCCAATAAAGTTGATTGAAAAAGAATTACTGGTGTCACCTTTATGTAATCTCAGACCTGTCCATCCACGGCCTTCGCTGCTACTCTCTTTTCGTTTGATCCGCAGTTCCTGGCTCTACCAAATTCCCCCCGATCAAACGTGTGTTCCTCGAGCACGAGAATGGCATTGTCGGATTGTCGAATGGGGATCACAAACCGCATCTGACCAAATCCTCCCCGACTCCGGCCGGACATCTGTCCGATCCGTTCGATACCGGCAATCTGAGTCCCGGCCACCAGTCAAATGGACTCGGTTCCA